CTAGCAGTCAGCTGAAGTGGCCTGCAGTACTGCACTCTACCCACTGCGCCACCTCGGCTCTACAACACTCAGTGATAGTCATAAGATACTAAATAAAAACAATCTACATAAATCATAAAATAGAAACAACAAGGGATAGTCATAAGGAATAGATAATAGGAAAGACAAGAAGGATTATAGTAATACAGCCCTACTACAAGGTTTGATACCTTAGGGCAGTGTTGGCAAACGTGCGTAAGGAAACCAGAAGCCCCCATGCGGTCTTCATGCATGCATCAGAGGTGGGTTTCTGCTGGTTCACCCCACATCGGGCGAACTGGTAGTGGCAGTGGCAAGAGGCTCCACCCACCCACCCAGACAATTCTGTGCGGAAGAGTCGCACACAAGTGCACAAGAGCAAACTGGTAGTAAAATAAATTGAAACCCACCACTGGTGCACATGCGTGCCAGAAACCGGAAGAGCAGCTGCCCGGGTGTGAGGCACGTGTGAAGACTAGCTGGCTGGCGCGCCAGAACCTGGAAGATCAATGGGCCATGGCTCGCGTGCCCAGAGAGATGGCTCTGCGTTCCACTTCGGGCACACCTGCCATAGGTTTGCCACCACCGTCCTAGGGCATAAGACAGTGCTTTGAGAATTAGTTGTTTCGCAGAGTGATGGCATTGGGGGTGGGTGGGTGGGTGAACTGTTTTGTTTATGACTGTACAGTCATATGCGTGTTTGTGCATGTATATAATGATTCCAGTGACTTTCTTGCTATGTTCTTGAGTAACGTATCTAGATCAGTCACAATTTGTTTTCATGTCTGCCTCTATTGAATACCTTTGAAAAATATGTTCTCCGAATACTTCCTATATAAATACTGCAGGGCTTAACTTCTATATGTTAATTTGATTACAGACTCTGTGACTATTCCAATGTCATGTTGGTGGAGCAACATGATTTTGATTTGGAGAATTGCAAAGCCCCAAAATACCTTTCCCTCCAGATGTCTGTTTTATGCACTAAAACATTGCTGATTTGGTTCTCCCAAAGGTGAAGCAACAGTTCCATGAGGCTGGCTTAATGGTGGATGTTGACGTGGACCCTGGCTGCACTCTGAATAAGAAGATCAGAAACGCTCAGCTTGCCCAGTACAATTTTATTTTAGGTAAAAGTGTCTCCGTGCAGTATGTGTGCCTAGCTCCATTTGAGCAATATCCACTTTAAAGTAGCATTCAGGGTTCCACCACAAANGGGGGGGGGAAACAGAGCAAAAAAACAGCTCATTTTTCATTCATTTTTGCCCTCCCCAGGAGCACTCTGGAAGCCTCCTAAAGGCTATGCATGCCCATTTTTGCAAAGGGGGCAGGGTTTTGGGAGGCCAAAAATTCAGTGTATAAGACGCACCCAGATTTTCATCCTCTTTTTTGGGGGGGGGGGAGGTGCCTCTTATAGTCTGAAAAATACGGTAATCAAGATTTAATGGAAGCAGGAGAATAATCTTGAAGTTGGTCCCTGAGTGAAGAACTTGCTGGTTAGTTCTTCCTTTTGACACTAAGGTACGTTTTTCCTCAGCGGACCGTTAGACCAGTGTTTCCCAACCTTGGCCATTGAAAGATGTTTGGACTTCAACTCCCAGAATTCCCCAGCCAGCATTTGCTGGCTGGGGAATTCTGGGAGTTGAAGTCCGGATCTCTTCAAGTTTGCCAAGGTTGGGAAACACTGCGTTAGACAATGTGAGGATGCTTTTCATTATGACGCGAATTCCAAATTGGGTACAAAATAGGATTTTAAAATGTGGAATTAAGTGATATTAAAAATCAAGGCCACAAGGAATAATAGCAGATTCGTTTAGAATTAAAAGCTTGAGTGAACAAATCAATTTTCAGCTATCGCTGAAGCTTGCAGATCTTGGTGTGGGCTAAAACCCTGGCAAATGCCATACCATCAGTAGATGGTACAGTAGAACCTCTGGTCACGAACGCTTCTGACCACGACCAAATCGGGCTCTGACCAAAAAATTCCCATTTTCTTTCTGCAGTCGATTTCCCCTTCCACACCATTTTTTTTTGGTTTCCATTTCAAAAATTAGGTCATGACCAGAGATGGTTTTTGAAGAAACAATTGAACTTATTTTGTTTTTCTGTGAAGATGTTTCGCTTCTCAACCAAGAAGCTTCTTCAGTTCTTCTATGTTTGTAAGAATTCTGTCCATGTTTGTTTGTCTCATCCTCTAACTTTTCACCCCCAAAAGATTGATATCCAGATCAAAGATGCCATTGGGAGGTACCATCAATGTGCCACCATCCAGTTGGATTTCCAGCTCCCTCTGAGATTTAACCTGACATACATGAGGTAAATACATCCCATGGTTTTATTCTGCATTTTATAATTCTCATCTAGTTAACTGGGTTTTGAGAATTACTGTATTTTTCGGAGTATGAGACGCACCTTTTTCCCCCTTAAAAGAGGGTGGAAATTTGGGTGTGTCTTATACACTGTATGTACCCCCACCCATCGCCCCCCACCCTTTCGCCTCTGCTTCCCAGCAATTTACCTCCATACAGCAAATGGGGAAAAGGGGGCTTGCAGAGGCTGCAATAGGCTATAGCAATCCCTGCAACCTGAAACAGCTGATGATCGGGAGATGTGCCCAAACTCGAGGTTCGAGGTTCATTTTATTTATATGCCACCCTATTCCCAGCGGGACTCAGGGCGGCGTACAAACCCAAGGAGGGGAAGGGAAACACAAAAACTACAACAAAAAATACAGGGCATTTAAAACAACCAATAGCCACACAATTCGAGAGGGGAAGGGAACTCATCGACCCCAGGCCTGCCAACACAGCCAGGTTTTAACGGCTTTTCGGAAGCCCTCAAGAGAGGTGAGGGTCCGAATCTCTGCAGGGAGCTCGTTCCAAAGGGCCGGAGCCGCCAGAGAAGGCCCTCCCCCGGGTAGTGGCCAGATGACATTGGCTAGTAGACGGAACCCGGAGGAGGCCTAATCTGTGTGATCTAATGGGTCTTTGGGAGGTAATTGGCAACAGGCGGTCTCTCAAATACCCAGGTCCAATACCATGAAGGGCTTTATAAGTGACGACTAGCACCTTGAAGCGTATCCGGAGACCAATCGGTAACCAGTGCAGCTCGCGGAGGATAGGTGTAACGTGGTTGTACCCAGGTGCACCCACAATCGCTCGCGCAGCTGCATTCTGGACGCGCTGAAGTCTCCGAATGCTCTTCAAGGGCTGCCCAATGTAGAGCGCATTGCAGTAGTGGATCTTTCTGTTTGCTCCAAGAGGCAAATTGCTGGGAGGCAGAAGCAGATTTTTTTTTCTTGTGCTAATCAGGCTGTTTGCTGTTTCCTGCAAGGAGGTAAGTCAATAACTATAAATTCCTAGAGAAGGTTCAAATTATTAGACTTATTTTTTAAAGACTGCTTTATTATTGTTCTAGACAACTCAACAAAATGAAGAAGCTTTTTAAAATAAATGCTTGATCTGAAGAGGCCCAGTGCTACTGTATCTCCTTTTAAATAGCAGAGAATAACTATACTTCCAGAAAGCACATCAATTTTAACAGCATCTATACAAGTATAGTCTGAAATGTACCACTACAAACAAGTGTATATTGTCTATACTGTTTGCCGTTTGATGCAAGGAGACAAATTTCTGGGAGGCAGAAGCAGATCCCCCCCCCCCGGCCCCTTGTTTTCCTCCCCAAAAACTAGGTGGGTCTTATACTTTGGAGCGTCTTATACTCTGAAAAATATGGTATACTGATTTTATCTTCTAGCCATGATGGTAATGACAAAAGGAGACCGGTGATTATACATCGTGCCATTTTGGGATCGGTGGAGAGGATGATTGCTATCCTGACTGAAAACTACGGAGGCAAATGGTATTGTATTGTTATTTTATACAGATAGTCCTCAACTTACAACCATTCATTAAGTGAGCGTTCAAAGTTACAACAGCACTGAAAAAAATGGAACTCATGACCAGTTTTCTTATCATTTCAACATTCTCATGGGCAAGGGATCAAAATTTGGGTGATTGACAAGTGGATGTATTTATGACAGTTGCATTGTCCTGAGGTCATGTGATAATCATGTGTAACCTTTGCAACTGGCTCGCGACAAGCAAAATCAATAGGGGAAACCCAGATCCACTTAACGACTGCATAATGTACTTAGCAACTGCAGTGATTCACTTAACAACTGTGGCAAAAAAAGGTATAAAATGGGGCACAACTGTCTTGCTTATCAACAAATTTTGGGCTTCCTTGTACTCATAAGTCTAGGACTACCTGTACATAAAAATATGAAATTGTAACTGTCAAGTTATAATTACTATCATATCATACTCCATACAGTTCAAGGTGGTGTATATAATATCCCTGCTTGCTATTTTCCCCACATCAACCCTAAATAAGGGGACTGAGTTTAGACATTGCAATAAATCAGGGGTGTCAAGCTCAAGGCCCGTGAGGTGCTTAGATCTGACCCACGGGGGTGGGCCTGGAAATAGCAAAGGACTGGCCCGCGCCCCATTTTTGGCCTGGACGGCCTCCTGCCGGCGAAAATGGGGCTTATTGGGCCTCATGTGCTTCCTGCACCCCATTTTCGTCCTGGACGGCCTCCTGCCCCACTTTTCTGGTTAAAATGGGGCCCCGGAGGGAGGGGGGCACGCATGGCCAGCAGGGTGCTGCAGGAGGCATCTTTACCGTTTCCACCCATTCAAAGTTACAACAGTGCTGAAAAAAAGTAGCTTACAACATCTTATTAAAGCCATATAAGAAGCCATGTTACATTTTGAACTAGAAAGTTTGTTCAATCTCAATTAGTTGGTAGAACTACGATATGGAATCAGGATCTGACCTATTCTGAACTATGAAGAATAATCCTTTTTTTTTTTCTGATACTGTAAGAAATGCACAGTTTTGAAGCCCATTCTGTGTACACTTCCTAAGAAATACTTACAATTAATAGCAGTGCAGAAGGTCATTGTTGCTAGATCCTCCCAAAGTTATCCGGAATTGCTGTTGTCTCTAAGCATATAGCAGTGACTTCTGTTGCTTCTCCTTTGTCCAAGGCCACTCTGGTTATCTCCTCAACAAGTGATGGTAATACCAATTGGACCAACGTGTGATGAATATGCACAAAAGGTAAGTTTTAACCTTTATTTTGTCCTAGATGCAAAATCAACTTAGGAACGCCTACAGATGTGAACATATCCAAAAAGAGAATGGCAAATTCCTTGGCAAAAGAAGCATTGCTTTTTGAGAGCAACATAGATGGATTCTGTGTTGTCAGAGACTAAAATCCAGAAGTCCTTATAGGCCATGTTGATTGATTGATTGATTACATTTGTATGCCGCCCTTTTCCCCGAAGGGGACTCAGGGCAGCTCACAATTCAATCAGGGAAGGGGGTACAGACAAGGGAATAAAAAAAAGACGAGACATAACAATACAAAAATTTTAAAAAAACACAACAACCATACCATTCGAGAAGGGGGGCAAAAACTCTATAGCCCCAGGCCTGTCGGAACAGCCAGGTAAACGAAACCCACACAAGAACAGGTGCAAACCACTCGAATTGCAAAGGAACTCTTTGGATGTAGCTCACAGTTTGACCAATATTTCAACTCCTTATTTACAAATCTATTTTGAAAGTGAACATCTGTCAAAGGGAAACTGAGAAGTGGGTTGCTAGCTGTCCAATAGAGAGGAATATCTGGGGAGATTTGTCTATTTAAGTGTGATTAAAGGCTGTTCTGATTGTGGTTTTGGATGGAATAGAATAGAGTTCTTTATTGGCCAAGTATGATTGGACACACAAGGAATTTGTCCTTGGTACATAATAATAGAATTATTATATCTGTCATAATTTGTCTTTATTGTCTCTGGTGCATAATCTCTCAGTATACATAAAGCAACAAATGATAAATCATGATCATAATATGATCATCATAAATCAGAAGATACAATAGCAATAGCAGTTAGACTTATATACCGCTTCATAGGGCTTTCAGCCCTCTCTAAGC